GAGAGAGAGAGAGAGAGAGAGAGAGAGAGAGAGAGAGAGAGAGAGAGAGAGAGCAAGGCCCGCCTTTTGAAAGAGAACAGAGGGAATGTGTACAGGAGGTGCTCTTAGTAGCAACAGCGAGGACGTATCCTGTCAGAACTCCAAGGGACGGCCAGCACAGATGCTGAATACTAACACACAGAACGCTGAGTGCTGTGGTTGCTACACAGGTGGGGCCTGGAATGAGAGAGGTAGTTTGGTGCTGGAGAGGTTATCAATTAAGAGCACTTGTTGCTCTTCCAGAGGACCTAGTTCGGTTCCTAGCACCATCTCCCGGGGATCCAACATCTCTGACTTCCACAAAAACACACATTATTAAGAAAACAACAACAACAACATAGGAGGCTGGAGTTAAGAGCACTGACTGCTCTTCCAGAGGTCCTGAGCTCAATTCTGAGCAACCACATGGTGGCTCCCTACAATATGTAAAGAGATCTGGTGCCCTCTTCTGGACTGCAGGCAGAACACTATATGTTAAATAAATAAATTTTAAAAGAACAATAAAAATAAACTTTAAACAAAAGGAAGGTTTGTTGTAGGAGGCTGCTTGTTTGTTTCCTGGTCACTCAGACTCCCAAAATAACCATACAGAAACTGTATTAATTAAATCACTGCTTGGCCCATTAGCATTAGCTTCTTATTAGCTAACTCTTACATTTTAATTTAACCCATTTCTATTAATCTGTATATTACCACGAGGCTGTGGCTTACCAGGTAAAGTTCCAGCATCTGTCTCCAGCGGGGCTACATGGTTTCTCCATGACCCTGTCTCCTTTCTCCCAGCGTTCAGTTTAATTTTCCCCACCTAGCTCTATTCTACATTATCAGGCCAAGCCAATTTCTTTATTCATTAACTAATCATATTCACAGCTTACAGAGGGGAATTCCACATCACCTCCCCTTTTCTGTTTAAATAAAAAGGAAGGTTTTAACTTTAACATAGTAAAATTATATACTAAAATTTAACATAGTAAATATATATATTATATATAGTAAAATTATATATAACAAAACAGGTATTAGCAAGATTACAGTTACACTATTTATATCTACTTTATCTTTTATAATAATTAAGGAAAACTAAAACTATCTATTCTTCAACTTCATCAAAGAATCCAGAGGATATAATATTACCTAAGTAAACAGGAAGTGCATTGTAAGCAACTTCCAAAACTTTAGAATTGACAGAGACATCTCTCTGCCTGGACAGTCACCCTAAGTTCTTTTTTTTTTTAAATATTTATTTATTATGTATACAATATTCTGTTTTGTGTGTATGCCTGCAGGCCAGAAGAGGGCACCAGACCCCATTACAGATGGTTGTGAGCCACCATGTGGTTGCTGGGAATTGAACTCAGGACCTTTGGAAGAGCAGGCAATGCTCTTAACCTCTGAGCCATCTCTCCAGCCCCCCTAAGTTCTTCTGTATCATTGGAGCATCCCATCTTCAGCCCACAGGACTATAATATCCAGCAGACCTTTTCATAAAGCAGGAAATTTCAAAGACAGGTCTATTTATATTGGAAGTTTGTCAGTCACTTTCTTCTGTGTCCCGCAGAATGTCTAGCAGACTCTTTTATAAAGCAGGAACCCCAAAGGATCATCTCACCTTCTTTAGGCAACTTCAGCAGTCCTTTTTTTCTGTGAGTTCTGCATGTCTTGTTCATATAGCATAATATCAAGCAGTCCAGGCGAGAACAGTTTCTTGCCCAAATGACTAATAAATGCTATAAAGAGGCTCTTCACTGCCCATCTTCCTCTTAAAGTAGATTGGTGCTGCCAGGAGCAGATGTGTCTCATGTCATGAAAACTCCAAAGTACTTAAAACATTTTAAATACCATATTCTGTAGTCTTTGAAAGGTTTGAAGAATGCCTATCTAACTGAAATATATCACTATATATCTAAAAACCTTAACTAATATGACTACAAGCTAGACTATTATACATGATTATCTATTAACCTATATTTCTTAATTATACATTACATTTTGAAATGAGTGGCACAAACACAATACCTTAATCAAGAGCAG